TCATTATCGATTAGTTGGTTGGATCGCCTAGCTCTCTCCTCCACGCTGGAAAGAGGGCACAGCAAGCAGTGGGCAGGTGCACTAGCCAGCCTGCTATTGGCTATTGCAATTTCCAATAGCAGGCTGGCTATTGCACCAGCCCACTACCTGCTGTACTTACATTCAGCTGCCGTCTGTGGAATCTTGCCACTGGCAGCCGTCATTCCCAGGCTGAAGCTGTTCAAGCGCCATGTGCTTACAATACAATAAAAAGAGGAAAAAAAAAATGTATAAAAAGTAGGGCTGCAGCTAACGATTATTTTCATAATCGATTAGTTAGCCGATTATTAACTTCGATTAATCGGATAGGATTACAAAAATAATACTGTCATTTATTTAAAATAAAATACAGAAATGCAGCTTTACAGACAAAGTTTACTTCAGAATAAAACAATATGCACATTGTTTGCAATCGCACTGCACTGGAACGCAGGGCATTGTAGTACCGCATATTCCAGAGCGGGCGATCACACTGCGGACAGGAGGTACATTTGGTATTCATTGAATGAATGGCATCGCAACGCACCTCCTGCAGCAACATTTGTCAGGCCGAAACTGAAAATGACATATATATATATATATATATATAAGTGTCTCACCAATCAGTCAAAAATGTCACCAGTCAGCATGACCGGACTATATATATATTTTTTTTTTAAACTATATAATGAAAAAAGTACCGTAAATTTCAAATAATTTTTTTTTCTCCCTACGTTATGTTATAAAACATCTATTATTACCCATATTTTTGGTAAAATAAAAAAGACGGGGAAATAAGACACCAAACATGTCAAGCCTTAAAATTGGGTGCGCCCGCAAAAAAAACACCACACTGAAAAACTTCCTGCATTCCGGGACTGGAGTAGATCAAAAGGGAGTCCGTATTCTGAACTCCCTTTGATCTTCTGTCACAGAGCCGTGCCGGTCCTGGCTAATGCAAAAAATTGTGCAAGTAGTTTTATTCTGAAGTATTGTTTGCAACACTGCATGTGTGTATTCTATTTTAGATTAAGGTTGATTTATTTTTTCAGGTTAATCGGAAAAAAAAAAAAAAAATCGACCAACTAATCGATTATGAAAACAATCATTAGTTGCAGTCCTAATGGGTACTGTAGTTTTTTTACATTTCATGGGCGCAGTTTCAAAGCAACAAATGATTCACACAATTGCTACAGGGAGCATAAAGACATGCCATGACATCAAAAAAGAACATATAACTGTTTATCTTTATTGTAACTAGTTATCTACCTCCTGGGCTGTGTCTCTGATGAACTCGCAGGATAAATTTGGGGTCAAGTAAAATTTCACATCATCTTCACTTTCATTTTCCTTCTTGATGCAAGGCTTCTGTTCTTCTTCCATGCTTATGATGTCCACATCCTCATCCACTTCTCTCTCTTTTTTAAGACCCTTCTCCAACTCCTCTATCTTTTGACAGAGAGCCTCAGAAGAGGAATAGGAAGAGGGTAAAGCTAGAAAATACACATAATGTAAAACATTACCATCAGGCATCAGTCCATATCCAGACAACACAATGTGTTTATAGATGACCGATTTAGCAATTGCCTGGAACACATCATTAATGTTGCATGTTCTGTTATAGGGGCACCTATAAGTTAGGAAAGAGCTGCCAAGTACTGATAGTCACCTTTAATACTGATGATCTTTGTCACTGCACACATGAATGGTGTGGTCGGTATACATTAAAACACAACTGCAGTCACATGGGTGCAACCACTACTTGCAATGTGCATGCACCCTTAACATGTAGACCACCAAGTATGTGTCCTACATGCCATATCAATCAATGACTTAAAACAAGCTTAAAGTGACATTAAAGGCAACATTCCCCTCACCTCAACGTTAATGTTAGCACTTACCTTAAATGATGTTTCTTAATCCGATCAGCTTCTTTCCTGATGTTTTCAGCCTTCTCTTCAGCGCTGCGGCGAGTCTCCGATCCAGCGCTGACTCCTCTGTCCTTGCTGGCACTTCCTGTCCGCGGTGTCTGCATGCGGGTGCACGCGTCCATTGACTTACCTTGTGTCTCTCCTCGCATCCTGGCCGAAAATGTGAACTGCGCATGCGCCCGCCCCAAGATCCTTTGCGGCCGCCCGAGGTTTTTCACATTTTTGGACGGGACCGCGTGGGGAAGACACAGGTAAGTTTAAACCACTGTTAAAGTGGGTTTAAAAAAAAAAAACTTTTTGCATATATCTACTGCCTGCTAGCACAACCAGCCTACTCAATGATCGAGTCTACAGAGACGGGCCAAGCTTAGATGCAATGCCAGTGCCTATGGACCATGAAAGTGCTCCATAGCTAACAACCAGAACTGGGACTCGAAAGTGTCTCATGCAGAACACAGTGCCCAAAATATACTTCCATGTTAGCTCGGCAACAACCAGTCCAGTGGGGTACACATGCAGTACAGTCTAAAACTACAGCACATGGCAGCCAATTAAAGGAAAGCCTCCAACAGCCTGAAGAAAAAAGTGCTAGTAAAGTAATAGGTTAGTCTTTACACCAGCAGAACTGAAGAAAAGACGTCTTCAGACATGGAGGCCTGTGGCAGTAGGAAGGGTTATCCTGGACTGGCCTACAGCTATTTTGCTTGCCAATGTCCAATCCTCTATTAGGCAGCAGCATAACCCAAAGGTTTAACACTTCCTATGCCACTCAATCGATGAGAAAGAAATCATATTTTGGGGGCTTAAAGAAGTTTTAAGGCCAAGAATGCAGTGTTTCAGTTGCTTGGCTTCATGCTTGATTACTTGATAGATTGCAGTGACCAAGAATAGGTTTGCAGGTAAGAATTTGACTTTTCTCTGCCATTCTGGATTTGCATAGTTGTTCAGGGCCAGCAATTCTTGAAACCAGTGGGTCAGAACAGCCAGGCAGCTAGAATTTTCAATCAAGGGAGCTGATGCATAGCACACTGACCTGTACATTTATAAGTAACAGTGAGCATTGCCTGATGTAATACAGGGATACTTTGCTTTGTACTTACAAGCCTCATTGTCAATTCGAGTCAACACATCTTCAATGGATTCCTGATCATCACTAGAGCTCTCAGGATCAGGAGGCGTGTAACCGTGAATGCGGCACCAGTGTACAATTTCCTTGGTTTTCAGAGGAGCAATAGAGCTAAATTTTGGCTGCTTTTCAATGATTTCTTGAAGCATTTTCTTCATGGCCACAGCTCGTTGCCACTAATAGAAAATGTAAAAAACACAATTAAAAAAGACAAAAACAGCCTGCAAAAGATCTCCTGTGAAAGATTACGGTTAAAGAAAATGGTATGACCCACCGCAACACTGCTTATACTTCCCTTCCCTTGATTCCTTTGGTGCTTCTGTCACCCACCCAAAAGAGGGGGTATGGAGAATCATAAGAGTCTCTTCCACTTCCTCCCATAATGCTGGGCAGGGTGTCTACATTGCTTATGGCCAGGCCCAAGTGTTGCCGTATGGAGGCAGGGAAAGTTTTAATTCCTGAAGTTAACTTTCAGGCTTACAGCCAGGCACTGTTACACACTATATGATCCTGGAACACATTCCTTGGTGCCTCTCACTTTCAAAAAGCTTGATTTAAAAATGCTTGTAAGTTTCTTACTGCCACAAATCAGATTTAAATTGCCATAAAAATATGAATTTGTCTAGTAAGGCAGCAAGCAAGAGAGAGGGAGTTACACAGCACCGGCTTCAAAAGCACCCACCCACTGCCCTCCTACTCACCCTGTGAGGTGCTCTATGTGTGCTGTGAATCCAGTGCATACTGAAGAACTTACATTAACGTAAAACAATGCACTTTCTGATTTTAGTACCACTGAAAAGTATTAGTATATTAGTAGTATTAGTAGCTCACTGACTGGTTTCCCTTGTTGTCTGGAATACCAGAAGAACTGTTACATATTTGCAAATTAAGTAAAATAATGGAAAATATGGAACAGGAAGCAAGAAAAATTATGGACGACCATAACAATTACTTACTGAGCTGAATGTTAAAAATGTGTATTTCACATTGTGTGTTTGTAAGTATTACACATTTCCACAGAACTGTGCATAATATATACATAATGTGATATATTCCATATGCTCCAATTTGCAGTTTAATTCTTTCAAAAAGTACCTCAGATGCTCTTCTTTTTCCAATATTCCAACTGTAATATTGTTCCAGTGAGCTCGCACAGAACGAATTACTGCCATCCTCATCTGTGGAAACGGAAAAAAAATGTTTTCACTTTGTAAAGTGTATCTAAAAGGCGTTCAGCTCTGAGCACTTCTGGTTATAACGCTGTAAAACTCCCGGCTCAACAAAATTCAACTATACAATCAACTTTTGTTGAAGGAGCTGGGGGGAAACTGTTGGCCAAATATGCATGTCACTTTAAAACCTTTGCTTTAACCTCTTTCAGACCAGCCACTGCCTATAAACGGCCACTTCACTACCGTATTGTTCTAGTTTGCTCGAGTGCCCAAAACTGCAACGTTAAATCAATGTATCTCAAAGTGCCAATACTGAAAAGAAGTTTGGTATTGTGTTTTAGTTTGGGCACTGGGGTGTAAAAAAAAAAAACGTTCAGCATCACAGCCTTAGCTAAAATAGGGAAACACACGTATTCAAACATTTATACACTCACAGATACAAACACATTTAATCACACATATAATCATACATTCATAAAACACACACACCGCAAACTCATAAAACACATCACACTCATACATATCACACATACACACACTCCTAAAACACACCCACACATTCATAAAACATATCACACTCACACATAAATCAAACATATCACACATACACACACTCCTAAAACACACCCACACATTCATAAAACATATCACACATAAATCAAACATATCACACATACACACACTCCTAAAACACACCCAGACATTTATAAAACATATCACACTCATACATAAATCAAACATATCACACATACACACACTCCTAAAACACACCCACAATAAAACATTTGCAGCGACCATCTTCAAAAACGTAATGTGACGCAGAGATTGGTGGGACACCGGAGGCCCATGCGGAGCACCCCAGGTGAGAACCTAGAGTGTGCGAACCCCGGCAGCCGGTACCTAGGCTCGCTTGCCACCATAGGGGCCTCTGCGTACCCTCTGTGGCACATGTGCCAAAGGTTCGCCATTGCTGTCCTAGGAGGATATATCTGTACAGCTCCCCACGTTTCACGTCTACCTGTGGTCGCGTGCCCAGCACACACACAAGCCAATGAACCAGCTGTCATTTGAAAGCGAAGAATATCGGCTAAAGGTACAGAAATGATTGCACCAGCTCTGTGCCTTCATGATTGGTTATCACAGTGATTACATGGTAATTCCGCTTACAGCAGAGTCAGGGGAGAGTAAAGGAACTAATGAATGAATAAATGAATCATTTGGGCGATTGTACCTTTTTTATTTTACACCCTAGACCAAAACGAGCACTTGACCCTTGCATTGCAGGGGTAGCCCCTCTGCAAGGGTTATGTTAACTGTTCTTCTTTAATGTATCTAGAGCACCATTATCAAGCTCCAAGATTTAACTCCCTCAATACTGGCATGTTTCTTAATTTCTGAACAATTGTGGCAAAAATGAGATCACCTTGGGGTGTCTACTTTGCAAAAAGGGTACATTTCAGGGATTTTTGTACTGCAATGAAATTTTTTTTATTTGCCGTGCTTTATAACAGAAAGTAAGGGAAACAGTTTTTATTTGGTCTTTTTTTTATTTATATAGAATTAAAAAAAGAAATATCACCAAAAGAAAGCTCTGTCTTACAAAAATGAAATAGGAAATAATGTGAGTACAGTGTTGCATGAACAAGTGATCCTCAGTCAAACTTTCACAGCAATGAAAACTGAAAAATGGCCTGGTAATGAAGGGAGTAGAACATGCTGCACCTCAAAAGGTTAAGAAAAACACTACAATAATGACTCTAAAGACTCACTTAAAACACAATGATGTTTCCTTTAGGTAATAAACTACATTAAAACATCAGTTGAATGATCTAAAGAGAGACACAACAGTTTCTGTCCAGCTTCAGGCAAATAACATATACTGGAACAATGTAAGATTTAGCATAAGCATCGAAATCTGTTTTATTATTTACCTCTTTCACCTATTAGAGGAATCTTCTTGACGGTTGCAGTTAGCAGCTGCTTGAAGTTCTGCAGATGTTCTGTCCTGCAATGATTTACAGCAGTGGGCTGATCAGCAACATACCAACACTGTCAAAAGACATTTATATGTAGAAAGGGATGCAATTTTTCTTTGATTAGTCTACATTGTTACATATGTGCTACCAAAACAAACATAATAACCCCTTCCCATATTTTTGAGACAACTATTCTCAATTTAAAAACACAGCTAAGTAAAAAATAAAATGTTTAATAAGGTTTGGCAAATGCAGTAGACTTCTTTAAAAACGTCTAAGGCTTAGTTCACACCAGAAACTGCATCACAACTGCGTGTCTGCGCAGTTGTACTGCGATGCGTTTTTTAACTGCACTAAAGAATGCTAATTAGGCATGTAGGTCACTTCCTTTTCCTGTCAGAGCATTTCCTATGTTTGTTTTGTTCGTTTGGGAGCTCAGTCATGCTTTCTTTGTTGGTTGGCATGGTGCTAGTTTTGACTTTAGCCATTCTCCACACTCCACCCAGGAAGTCCACAGATGATGACAATCAAATGTGAGTTTTTTGGGGGGTTTTTACGCGTTCGTTGGAACCGCGTTTTGATGCAGTTAAAGTAGCAGTACTTTTTCTGACTGCAGTTGAATCGAATGCAATGGTGTGAATTAGGCACAAGAAAGCCCGCAGGAAAGCATTGGGATGTATTTTAACTGCGCAGTTGAAATAAACGGACTGCATCACAACTGCATATGGTGTGAACAGGCCCTTACAATTTTGGCATCAAGACCCCTGAATACATGTTCCCAGGCCTGCACATTTGCTGTGGTGTATACAAAAAGGGCGTTGTCACATTTTCCCTGTTTTAGTTTGCATTATAGTACAGAGGATGCAGCAGATGACGTTGGAAGACAATACACAAACTGTAGGCACAGGATACCACGGAGTGCATTAGCCCACCAGACTACTCCCAGAACTCACATATATTACTTTTCTACTGGATTCCGTTTACAATTGTGTTCAAAATTCTTAGCAGCCCTGAAGTGACATGTTTTCTTGTTTTTCCAGATGGTAACACAACTGCTACATGGGAACACACCTACAATATAACATTTTACTGCAAATATAATGCACATTTACTATTCGATAAATGTAATATCTTAGAAGCTTAGAAGCTCCCCCACCCCCCCCGCCGCTTTAACCACCTGCTGTCCGGCCGTTGTAATTAAACGGCCGGACAGCGGCTTCTTGAATGCGGGTGGGCGTTTTTAAACGTCCCATAACGCCCCGCTCGCCGCTAGGCGGCGGGCACAAGCGGGAAATCAACGATGGCTGTTTACATACAAGTGTTCGGGCGTCTGTGCGAGCCCGGGACCAGCACAGCAGCTCTGACTCGCTCTGAGGCCGGCGAACAAACGGAGCTCAGTACACGAGCTCTGTTTGATCTCCTCCTCTTCGGAATGCAGGCAGTGATGTGTATTACATCACTGCCTGCATTCAGTGTCACTCTCCGGTACAGAAAGAGAAGCTGGTGAAGCAGGTGTTTGCTTTACCAGCTTCTTTGGGGGTCCCTAGGTGACATTAGGGGTCTTAAAGAGGACCTGTCACTGAAAATTGGCTATCACAAAGGGGGCTTGTTAGTCCCCTATGTGATAGCAATAAAGTTAAGCGGAAAAAAAAATGTTTAAGAGAATTAGTTACAAAAAAATATATTTTTTTAAAAAAAAGTCACATATAAAAGGTTATAAAAAAAAAAATGTACTTTTTTTTTTAAAGTCCCCCGCCCCCCACATACACACATGCGTCAAGTGTGCCTAAGTGCGTAAACGACGATTGCATCCATTACGCCGCATGTTTAGTAATGCCGCGAACGTCGCGATGAGAGCAATAATTCTAGGGCCATCAATCACTGATAACACTAACCTGATGAGCGGTAAAAGCTTTTAAAGCGTCGCCTATGGCCAATTTTGGGTATGGTAGTTTTTGCGAGTTCGCGGACGCACGCAATTTTAAAGCTTAACATGTTTGATGTCTATTTACCCGACGTGAGCCCGTCTTTTATATTTTTCCAAAAATTTGGGTAATAATAACTGTGTTATAACAAAAAAGTAATTTTTTCCAACTTTGGTACTTTTTTCATTATATAGTAAAAAAATAAAACCCCCAGTGGTGATTAAATACCACCAAAAGAAAGCTCTACCTGTCCCCAAAAAATGGTATAAAATTCATTTCAGTACAGCGTTGCATGACGGAATAAATGTCAGTCAAAGTACTGCAGCGCTAAATACTGAAAAATGGCCTGGACAGGAAGGGGGTGTAAACACCCCGGTCAGCAAGTGGTTAAGGATGCTTCTTGATCCTATCATCTTCTTCCATCCACTAGTATTCAGCAATCCATCCAGTGCTGGTGCCGGTCTCTGATTCAGCGTAGACTGCTGTCTCTTCCTGTCCCGCGGTGTCTGTTCGACATGCATGCTCACAGCTACGTGCATTTACCTCCACTCTGTTTCTCCTCTTTTCCCTGCAGATGATCTCTACTATACATGCGCCCGCTCAAAAAACTTCAGATCTACAGCCGGGAGCGAGCGGCGAAGGTAAGTTTTTACCTTTTTGGTAACTTTAAAAAAAAAATGTTTTTGCACATATCTACTGCTTCCTAGCAGTAGATGTATGCAAAAAAAAAGAAAGGAGGAGTTTAATTCTACTTTAACAATACTACTATACCAGTGTACAACTTCAATGTGAAGAATGAGAACAAAAACACTCATACTACTCAGAGTGGAAGTTTGAAAGAGCCAGATCTCTTCCAAATCAATCCACCCAATATTGCCAGTTCATCTAGCTACTGTTATGGGGGAGCGAGTCTCACTCTTCCTGGTGGATAGTTGTTTAATTGTGGAGTAGTAACTATCCACTGGAGAATGTAGAAGACCGAGTAACAAATCCACCAAATGTAACAGCAAGAGTAAAATTTCCTAGGGATGGGGGGCACACTGAGATGTTAGAACAGGGAGATCTTATCACTTGAATTCTCAAGGCATACAAAAGGCCGGTAAGTGATCCAGTGTCTACCAAAAAAAACAATACATTCTGGGGGAAAAGACCCGTACTTAGAGAAATGGGTATGCGGTTACTGGTGACTTCTCCTTAGGCAGTTGTCAGGATAGCGTGCTGACATGGCCTTAGTGGTTTCTGAGCCACTCATCCAGAACAAATGTGTACATCAGAGAATGCCAGGCAACTACAATTTGCACAGATCTGCAATGGCAACCGGCAGATTTATCATATTTTCCTTCAAAGCTTAACTCCAAGCAGATATAAAGAACAGAAAAAAAACATTTAAATGATTATTCATAACAAATCGTTAAATATATTCTTACATATTAGTGGCACAAGTACCAAAATATGTGTTGAGATCAGGCTCTCTTAATACTCTGCAAAGCAGGATTAAGGCTGCTTAACCCTTTCGCTGCCAAGCCCTCCGGAACATTATTCAAATCAGCTGGCCAAGCCATTTTTGCATTTCTTGCAATTTTTTCCTATTGATTTGATTTTCAATTGCTAGCGTTTGTAAAATACCCCCCAAACCATATATTTTCTGAAAGCGCAGGCCCGGTAGAATAAAAAGATGGTGATACTAAATTTGTAGGCCCTGCGATAAAAAAAATAAAAAAGCTGCTGCAGGCATAAAATGCATGCACATAACAGAAGCAGCTTTCAAGACACCGCCATTACAGCTCAATCCAAGACCATTCTGGCAAAGTTCTGTTACTTCTGGGTAGAGTGGGAGTTTGCTGCTGGCTCACACACGATTAACAAATTCTTACTGGACAGTCACTATGAGGGGCTGCCCCAATGGCCAACAGAAATGTGCAGGCAAGTTTCAAGGAAATGCAAAGGCTTTGCCTTTCACAATGACCCAGGAGTTGAAGTTAACAGTCACATTGTGAAGCCTGCTGCAATTATATGTAAGCACCTTGAGGGGCCTAAATGTTGTACCTGCAGATAGTTCCTTTAACTGCAGTATACTTTGTAATGGAGATTGATGGCTTAGCTGTTCTGTCTGGCAGGGATGCCAGGATCACAAAAGGACACATTTACAAATCTGTGTTTTTAGCCGTCTGAAGTTTATCTTTAATATACACAAACAAGACTGCACAAGCTGATGACTTCAGAAAACTATATGGAATAAGTAATATATAATTACTTCACAGAGCTGGATTCCTGATCTACATTATCCTCCATCTTCACTGCTGTACTTCCCATATGGAAGGCGGATGTGTTGCTCTGGTCAGGTTCTGCTTTCACTGCAAAAAAATATGCAGTTTAGGATTAATATGAATATAACAGCATGCAGGGTTTTCAACACCTTCACACCTCATTTATTTAATGCATTGAAAATAGTTCTGGATGATGAACAGCTATATAGGAAAACCCAACGTAGATACCTATAGTACATATGTATCATAAGGGAAATTGTAAATTCACTCACTTCAACTTATTAGACTACCAAACAGGAATCTAACCCCAAAGCAAACCTAATTTGTACAAGCAGTGATGTGTGACAAAGACCTGTAAGAGAAGTACTGTTGGGAGCCGGACTAATTGTTGTTCTGGAGGATAACACCTGTGTGGGTAGTGTGCTAGTTTTCCCACTGAACAGAGTCTTTATATGGCTGTTACTAGCAGCGCCTGTCTGTTGGACGTGTATTTTGCTTGATGACACGTTTTGTGTAGATGTACTGGATCCTTCACCAGCCTGTGAAAAACAAGGTGTGGTAAAAGTGAGAATCAGGGTTTACAATTTTACACAGTTCACAAACTCATTTTTGTTGCTTTTAGGGTGTCCTTATACAAATAATGGTAAGCTATTTACAGGAATGCATTTAATTTAACCTTGGAATTTTATGGTACCTGTTGACTTGATCCGCTTGCAGTCGAGGATGGTAATGACGTACTGGCCGCAGTTATTACCCCTCCAGCGACCCTTAGCAGTGTGGTACCAGGTTTCTGTGTTTGCGATGTTGCTGGCAATGACTTTAAAACATTTTCCGATATCTTTACTAATCCAGCTGAACCACTGTTTCCCTAAACATGAAAAAAAAAATACACAAACCAAATGCATCAGATTATACAATATTGTGCTGGAACCCTGCATTAAATCCACAAAGTAAATCTTTCTTTGCTATGTATACCAGAAAAAAAATTAAACCAGATAATCAGAAATACACTGTCCTGCAGAGAAAACCCAACTCTAGCACAAGCTTACTGTACAGCAAGGTAAACAGGTATAGTACCCAGGACACAATACAGGGTCTAAACCTGTCCCAAAGGCTCCCAATACAATCAGTTAGAAAATAAGTGAATTGAATGAAAGATGTGTACTTGAATTCATTTTGGAAAATTATTATTACTGAGCAGTTGTGCAGCAGTTACATATCAGCGTATGAAATTACACCAAATGAAGGTTTAATGACCCGGCAGCCAGGGCCGGATTTACTCTCCCTGCCGCCCCAAGGCCAAGTTCTGCGCCCCCCCCCAAGCCACAGTGGCCTTGTGGGGAATCCGGGCCTGCCTGCAGCAGAACACAGCTTGCTTTCCACAACCAGATGGTTGGGAAAAAAATGAGATGCATTACACAAATCAAAAAGAAAAACAACAATTACCTGTGTAATCAGAGTGCTCTTCTGTCCAGCAGTTATTTTTATTGTTTGCTGACCCTGTGCAGATGACCCGCCACTGCCCTGAACAACATTTGAGCTGGCTTGCTTTCCAGATGTCTGTGGGGATGGCTGTCCAACTAAAAATGTGCCCTGTGAAACAATGATGAACAAAACTAAGTGCTGTCAGCAACAAATAAACAGAAGCATAAGCCAATATGATAGCTTTTTTCATTGAGCACCACACAGACCTGAGGTGTCTGTTTCAGAATATAGGATGTGTAGGTGAGATGTTGGGGTAGCCCTGTAGAAGCTCCTGCTGTGCCAGAGCCACCGCTGCTGGATGCCCCTGACTGCAGATCTGAAACACATATGCAAAAGAAAACGTTAAATACTGTATACACATACATTGGCAGATAAAACATTTGTACTAAAACTGAATGCATCACCACCTGACTTGAACACACATATTAGCATGTATCAATCAGAGACTAACGTCTCCCTATGTGACAGATCAGAAAAAAAAAAATAGACAAAACATGGCACATGCGATGCTTTCTAGCTGATATGGTTCAATGCTCTTTTCAAGTTTCATAAAACATTTCACAATGTCGAGTCATTTTACCGGTTAATCTAATTGCTGTATTAACTGTAACTTAATATAGTAAAAAATATAAAAATACGCAAATAAAATCTCTCTAATGGACATTTGATATTTTGTGTTTTGCACCTTAATATGATTGGTCATATAACCAAAAGTGTGACATCTGTCACAGCTATGCTGATGGCAACCTGTAAAGCGAACTTTAACAAAAACTTTAATAACTGCTTCAGAACCTGGTCAATTCTACATTCATGCAAAATGCTGACATGATAGAATATAATTTGCTGAAATATTACAGTGGTGCCTCGGTTCATGAACTTTATTCATTCCACGATTCTGGTCGCGAACCGAATCAAAATTTCCCCATGAGGTTCAATGTAAATAAGGTTAGTCCGTTCTGACCCCTACGAACGTGGTCGCAAACCGATTTTGGTGGCGAACAGAATAACATTTTCCCATAAGGTTCAATGTAAATGAGGTTAATCTGTTCTGAACCACATGTACATTTCATTACCGCTCTGCACTTTCTTTTTACCACCATGCTTGCTCTGCACTTTCTTTGGAGCCATGCTGGATTGAATAAAACTGTACAGTACTGTATGTGCTAAAAAGCACACAAAAAAAGCTTCACAGCAAGTGGCACAGGTCTGTCTGCGACCGCAATCTCGCCTAGAGGAAGCCACGACCACGTTTTCAGAGCGGGGAAGATGTCCGCGGTCGTGTTCATCACCCGATGCAGAGTTTGCAAACAGAAGCAAAATTTTGCTGAACTTCCTGTTTGTGAGCCAAATTGTTCGCAAACAGAAGCGTTCGTGAAACGAGGTATTACTGTATATTGTTTGGGTGTGAAAAGAAGTCACTGGGGTATTCTCAAATCAAGAATACAAATATGTTCCTTTGCTAATACAACATTTACCATACACATTATAAATAAGCATTACGTGTGAAATGTCATACAAGAGGACCTGTATGTTCACTTACTTGCAGTATTAGCAGCTCTCAGGATTGCACCTTGAGGTATAAGCAACAGCTTCCCTTTACCAGAAGTGCTCTTGCTGTTGGTGGTGAGGTATAGTTTGGTGCCTGGAGGTAGGTTTGCCAAGTTACCTATATTTGTGGATGGCAGCTGGAGAGTTGCCATTACTTTAAAAGTGAAATACAAAAAGTTATATCACTTGTAAAAAAAAAACAGAAAATTAAAAATGATAAAAATATAAGCACTTTGTATTTTCTAAACTAATAAAAAGCATAAATCCAATTTTATCATGAAAAAAAGTCAACCCCAGGAAAATTCTTTTATGGATTTTAACAATCTTGATCCTTCCCTGGCTTTTGTTTTGAGGTATTCAGATAAACCATTTGAGTGCACTTGCTGAAAACTCTCAATATGAAAACTCAGTGGTAGATACTGCCTTTGATACGAATTGTAGAATTGGCCGATATGTAGTAAATTGTCCGTCATGTCTGAAGAGTTGCAAAAGGAAGCAGACGCCATTAGCATCATTACCAGTTGGATGCTGAAGTCGGTGTGAAAAAGTGCTAGGTAAAGCGATTATTTAAGATGCTGCATGAGAGAGGCTAGAAAAAATCCTACATAATTAGGGCAAGAGTCTGTACTAGGGAAGTGTCACACCTAAGAGTTTCCTATATAAAAGATAAAAGGCAATAGTTCTTTTTTGCACTCTTTCAGGAAATACAAAATAAAATAGCAGAGGAAAACAAGGGAAAAAAAGTTGGAAGCAGATCTGGAATAAAATAAAAAAAGACCTGTTATGGGAAAGAAAGACAGAGAAAAAAAAAAGGTAGCAGAGGGATGCTATAGATATCCTTAGAAGAGAACTATGGGGGTTTTATGAAGAATTTGTTCAGAAATGGTTTGTTCCCTCAGTGGGTCCAGCCATGCCTTGCTTCTAAAAAGACAACTACCATACTACTGGGGTATATACCTGGCTTTTTAGAGAGAACTATGGGGCAAGTGTTTTTCCCCATAGTTCTCTTTAGGGTCACGGGAGGACATACCGTATATACTCGAGTATAAGCCGTCCCGAATATAAGCCGAGGTACCTAATTTTACTACAAAAAACTGGGAAAAAGTATTGACTCGAATATAAGCAGAGGGACTCCTCCGGTGACCCAAAACTCAGTATATACGGATATACTGAGATTGCCTCGGCCGGGAAGAATCTCAACAATACTGTCGAGATCCACCCAGCTGCGTGAGTGACAGCTGGCTCTGCCTATCTAGAGGCAGAGGCAGCTGTGCCCACCCCCTCCCCCATCTGTTTCTCCACTCAGCGCTGGAGGATCCCTGCGGGGAGCGGTGACTGACACTGCAGGGAGATGATCGGGAAGTGAGCAGATCGGTGCATGTTTCTGCTTACTTCCCGATCGATAGAGCCGACCTGTGACAGCTTCTTTGTCACAGGTCGGCCCTATGAGGATGAGTGGAAATCACTCACCTCATAGTTCTCCTTTAAGGACATGGAGTATCCAGGGGAATATGTTCCTTAGAAGCTACTCTCATTGTTAAAGAACTTTATGATTTTTTTAATTAACCCTTGCAGTGGGGCTACACCCGCACTGCAAGGGTTAAGTGCTGGTTTGTGTCTAGGTGCTAAAATAGCAAAAGATATACTCTTACCCGGCCAGCTGTCCCTACAGCCTCTCTCCCCCTCCCTGCTGCATTGTAATCTTCCTCAGCATCCTCATGTCTATACACTGTGTATAGATGTTGATGATTTATGGGACCTTTATGGGGCTGCAGAGGAGAAAGAGAGACCTTGGAAGGACCGGTCTAAGAAGAAGCCGGCTCAGAGGTTTGGGTGAGTATATCTTTGGTTTTTTTTTGTTTAACCTAGACACAAATGAGCAGTTAACCCTTGCAGTGCAGGGATTAAAGAAAAAAAATCTTCTTTAGAGACATCTACAGTGATGTTCCAAGATCTAGTTCCATTTCTAAAATAGACACCAGTTTTATTATGGTAGACATTTTAGTGTACTTAAGAGTAGATATCCATCTTTCCAATATTACTCACATCAGTTTGAAGCTTTAGTAAACATACTGTAGGTCTCTCAATATAGGGAGAGGAGGCATGTTTTCCATTAAATTACAAAATGGTTAGGATCTATTATATGTTATTGAAATGTATAAGAAACTGGAGATTTCCTTTTAAGCAATTCAAAGAAAAATAAACCTGAAGCAGAACCAGTTACTTTTAGTTGGGTAGAGAGTAGGGAACCTGATGTGTGCACTTTCAATCTTTGGGGCCTGCCTTGAAGTTTATATACTGGCGTCTCTTAGCCTGTAATATGTTGGCCAATATAATTTTCACAATCAGACATTGTCAGCTGTAATGGGAAGATACTAATGGAGGAAGTTATTGCATTACCCTCTTACAGACAGCCTTCGAAGTACATATAAAACATACCTCAGATGCCCTAATCAGCTTCTACCCAAAACCAAGATATTGCATTTTTTCCCTTATATTTAAAAAGCTAAAATCATTTACATAAATTAGCATTGTTGAGCAAAATATTTTGACAATACCTGACCCCTGTGTTCCGGTTTTTGTCGTTACAGCAGAAGTAACTTGTGCTTTTGTCATGTTTTGTGAGGACTGTGGCAAAACACTAGCACTGCTGACAACAGCTTTGGCCACACCTTGAGCTACCATCTGTTTTGCTCCCACGGCTTTGGCAGCTGAAGAGCTAGATTTGGCAACAAGGATCTGCCCACCACTTATAGTCACAGATGGTTTAATTGATGCTTGTACAGCAGATCCAACTGGTATTCCAACAACCTAAAGCCACAAAAGAATTAAAATCAGCAAAAAAATATCTACTGTGACATTAAAAACCTAAAAAAATAAAAGCAAAAACAAGGGTATTAGTTTGCATAGAGCAAAAAAAAAGGAGGAGAACTATGAGGGGAGTGATTTCCACTCACCTCATAGTTCAAGCAAACCTTTGACAATGAAACTGTCACAGGTCAGCTCTATAGATCGGGAAGTGAGCGAACACATACCGTCGCTCACTCACTCACTTTCTGATCATCTCCCTGCAGAGAGAGGTGTGACTGTCAGTCACCGCAGGGATTCTCCGATCCTCCAGCGCTGGAGAAACGGATAGGGGAGGGGGCGGGCACAGCTTACTCTGCCTCTAGATAGGCAGAGCCCACTCTCAATCAGCCAACGTGATGGATCTCGACAGTATTGTTGGGATCCGTCCCGGCTGAGGTGATCTCGGTATAAAGCGAGCAATAGCTCGCTATATACTGAGCTTTGGGTCACAGGAGGGCGTTAGAATATGTCCTCCCGTGACCCTTAAGAGAACTATGGGATAAAAAGTTTACCCCATCGTTCTCTTTTAACGCAGGTTATTGAGCGATTTTGCTGTTAATTCTTATGCACTTACACAGTTCAGCACTACTTGTTTATAAATGCCATGAGACCGCGTACATTTATTACATTGAAATAATATTCCAGCCAACTACAGCTCCTACAACTACATTGCTGACCTTGCATGATACACAAAAGAGGTGGTACATTGCAACAATTCCCATCTCTGCTGCAAAATCATTTGTATTTCACGCATATCTAGCCTTACAAGCCTAGAACCTAACTGCAGTACAGCCAACTCTGGAAGAAGAATCAAGTTCTGTATCTACTACCAAAGCTCTCGAAATTACCTTAGACCCCTCAGGAGTGCTTAGATTCTTTTGTGGGGACACAGCAATCATCTGGTTGCCCTTTACAGTCACAATTTGCTGGAGAGATGGTTGAGATGTTGAAGGAGTTTCTTGCTGCTGCTGCTGCAGAGATGTTTCAACAGGCTCTTGTTTTATTATCACCTGAAATTATAGAAAATGGCAAGTATTTTTTCAGTTACAAATATATTCCAGAAGATTACGGTAGATTAACAATCACAGTTGTATAATGAACTCTACTGAAGACTAGTTAAGAGATAATGGACATTTTAGCTTGTTGAAATAGCTTGCTAGTCATCTTTAAAATGTCCAAAAAGTAAAATGTCAATGTCATCATTGGAAAAACTAGCATTCAGACATTTACAACAGTACTTTCTGTACAGCCATGTGATCAGTATATCCAAATGCATTAAAATAGGCAACTAGAGCACCTGTGATACAGTATGCGATTCCCCCTGTTTAACAAACATGACTCCTCCACTAACGTCCTTTTACATTCATCAAGCAGAATGCTTTGATTCATCAGATGAAGGCGACAGAGATTTGCACACGTGGCTCTAGATCTAGAGCCACGTGTGTCCTTTTACATTCATCAAGCAGAATGCTTTGATTCATCAGATGAAGGCGACAGAGATTTGCACACGTGGCTCTAGATCTAGAAATCCAAGATTCTGTTCTTGTGACAACTCAAAATTGTAGATTTTCCTTTATTTTCAGTCCCAATGGCCACAAGAAAAAATAGAGAAGGTAAAACTTCCCAGTGGGGGCACAACAAAGCTGGTCAGAGGTTTGTGAATGTTCAAAATGCAAGTCCAGTTAAGTGTGACTAGCTACAACTAGTTATACTATAAAAATAGGAACCTTCAAACACACACCTTTGGGGGGCCTTGTCCAAGATGGCAGAGGGAGTAGAAGCATATGCCTGGAGCTCTGCAATAATCCAGCTCTCCGAATTCCACAGCTACGATTACTACCCCCCATCTCTGGCACTCATCGACTCCACCCCTAAGATGACTAGGAGGGAAAAATACCACCTCAAGGTGCACCATCAGCGATCTACCTTTCTTGGAGAAAGTGGCGGGAAAGTCGCTTCTGCCCCAATCCAACGTAGCGACTCTAACAGAAGATACAGAGGTCTCTGACCAACCTGAACTTAAATCTCTGTTGAAATGCAAAATTTGCAGATTGTTTGACTTGGTAAAAAATGCTGTTCCCGGCAAAGCTGCAGAATGGGGAGACACTCCTTACCTCCCCGGAGGAGGCCTCCACGTTTCTGGGCACTCTCCCTGGTCATGGGCGCTGAATGGCTGGGTATATCACCTCCCATTTTTGTTTCCACCTTGGAAACACACAAGGAGATTTCTCCTTCTAAACCTGCCTTCCTGCTTCAGGATCCGGTACTACCGCTACTTTACAAACCTGCATGTTAAGAACCATGATAGCTGCTGTGGGAAAGGACTAACAGAGCGCAGAATTGACTTATTTGACATGCTGCCCGACCAGGACCTGACTGGGAACCTTGATTGGATACCTGCCTGTCTGGTAGGCCAAGCCAGTATGACCCTTGAAGCCGTAACAAACCCCTCCGCCTGCTCTCTGATCTTTTACTGGCCCTTTTCTACGCTAATTGTTTCCCCTCTTCCCAACAATACCCACGGGCCACATTCCCGATTGCCACACTTTTCTGCAATCCCTCCTCTACCCAGTTTATTTCTTCCTGTTGACTCCCTCCTGCTTTCATTTCTGCAAAGTGTTTATTCTGTTTATAGTAATACAAGATATGTGCGCTCTGATTAATGCGAGAGAACTGCAGATTATTATTAAAGTTGAGAGGCATCTCCCTCCATAAGGAATTTATCTGTTAGACCTGAACTCTTGCACACAACACCATATGCTGGTATTTCTAGTTATGCTTTGTGATATAGGCATTTTCTAGTTGCAGAAAACAAAGGGAAGTTGGTTATGTTTTTGTTGACGTTTGTGTTTAAGTTGTTAATGATGTCATATCTATCTGTAAACTACTTAATATGCTACAGACCTTGCCAGAATTTGGCACTATGCAAACGTTGTACTAGGTTCCAGGTCCATCTTGAGCTCCTCAGCCTCTCCTTCTCAATTATGCAACTAATGTATCCAGTCTTAAAAAGGCAAGGGTTGGTCATTACTGTAATGTCACCTTCTCCACCTATGTCAGGAGCAGCAGTATCTTCATGGCTCGTTACCTTTTGGATCTCAAGCTTATACGACGAAGCCAATATACTTTATATTGTGATGCATCCAATAATGAATTGCAATGAACTGGTTATTGTAGGCCTTCCCCCCCCCCACACCCTGATAATACCTAATAATGCTATAGTTTGGCGGTTTTGATTGCTTGGTAACAAACTGGTAATGTCCTTTTTGCAGAGATTTTAACTTGACCCCATAAGGACATACCTGACCCCTACAGATTTGACCACCTCAGAATTTTCCAAACGGGTTAACACTTACTGTACCTGCTCACCAATGTCTAGCGGTGGAAGTATCCTGAGTGTGGAATTTACAGGTCATTTTGCCATGCACAGATTTATGTGTAGAGTTGACCTTACTTATGCCTCTGACAATTGTTACCACAGATACAATCCATCCAAATTCTTGCTTGTGGCATTTCAGACCATGCCTCCCTGCAGCAGTAACTCTCCAAACCATCTGAAAAACTATAGAGACTATCCAGATTCTGCATCTCTGATGCTTGATGCTAGCTCTGGCTGCACTATTGGAGAATTGGTGAGACTGCCTCTCTTAATGGTCTTCCCACTGAATACTATCAACTGTATCAAGACAGACACTCAGGATCCAAGACTGACAGACTTTTTTTTTAACAGCATTTGAACAAGAAGCTCTTCCTCAGACTATGCTGGAGGTAGTTATTGTTGTGGTTCTGAAACCAGAAAGAGATAGAGAAGTATTCCATATACCTTCCCATTTTCCTAATGTGTATGCCAAAATCCTGACTAGCAAACTTGCTTAAATTGCGTAATGGCCACATACTAATGTGTTTAGTGATGTAACCCTGTAACAGATATTCTGTATCTGAAGTCAGAAACCCTAAACATATCTAATAAAAAAAAAATATACCTTTGTGAAAGCACCAACTCCTCCAGCCACAGTTTTGGGGCTCTGAGATTTTGAGTGAGTTCCGATTGGACAAAGTGGAGGCATTGCAGCAAAGAGAGTTTCTTCCTGCTAAAAAACATGCATTATATATTATTACATTACAAAACTAAAAAGACTATACAGCCCGACATTAACAAAAATTAAGCTGAGAGCTGCTATGTTGTAGTGTGGTAACTTCCTTCTATTAAAAACAACGATTACTGTAGCATAAGTTTACCTTGATATTCTGATTAACAAAACTGCTCCCATGAATCTTTGGCAGTGGAGAACGGGTTCCAGCCTGTGAAATACTGGAATGCTTGCTTGTAGGGCTACCTTCAAATTTAAAATAAAGTCTTATTAAAACTCAACTATTTCATTGAAATGTTTCCCTTTAACAAAAGAAAAGTTTGGCACCAACATTTATTTAAGACACCTCCACAAATTAAATTCAGACAGACAACTGGCAGACAACTTGAGCTCCAACACCCGCACAAACTTTAGTCACTTGCTTAGTCGTTCATCAAGAACATTCCACTCATTTACATACCCAACTCAGGTTGTTAGTTACAAGAGTTAGCATTTATCTACAGGAGGATTTTTGCTTTAAAATACATGTACGGCAACTTCTAAAAAAAGATCTAGCATAGAAACAATAAACATAAGCAATGGCTTTTCCACTTGCTATAAAAACTGCCAAATAGCAACAAAGTTTTCGAGTGGATAGAACACTTTAGCAGAACATAAAGCAGGAGAGAAAAAGGGAAAGATTGCTACAGTAACATTAACAAAAGGAAGCACAACAGTCTTAAAGCGCAAACAGTTTAAGCAAGATGATGCACCAAAAGGAGAAAAATCAGCCAATAGAGCCATTTAGAAATAGTTGGAAATTGGAAACACTCATTCTGATGAGCTTGTCAAGCTGACCTCACTGTGACAAAACACTCCTGCGCATAGAATGATGGGAGAAGTATGTAAAGGCATTTGCTACAAAGCTGATTACTAGTCTCAATTCACAAAGCTGGATGAGTTATTTCAGCTACACTCCTTAGTTTATCATATCGCAATTTTCTCCGAGATGTGTCATTTTCTACAAGAAGTGGGCATTTAAAAGGGCAACTGCAGTTTAATTTTTTTAATGATTAGGTCCAGAGATCTTTACTGAGCAGTCCGCTCCGAGCCGTACAGCCTTTCTTTCAAAATATGTCCATATACATGGCAGGTCCAAAGAGACACTTAGGCGCTTATTTACTAAGGCAAATTGACTGTTCACTTTGCAAGGGAATTTGCACATTGCAGTGGAAATTTCCCTTAGCTTAATGAATGAGGTGAAGTTCTGTTGACTTCAATCATCCAATCATGTGCAAGCAAAAACACTGGTTTTTATTTAAATTTTCCTTGCACGTGATTGGGTGTTCTTTGCAAACTGAAGTATCACTGCATTCACCAAGCGAAGTGAAACTTCCCCTGCAATGTGCAAACTCCCTTGCAAAGTGAATGGCCTATTTGCCTTTGGCAAATCAGCCTCTTAGAGTCCAGCTTTCTCATAAGAATGAAAGGGGGCGCAGCATTCATGTGTAGTACAAAGTAGCCATTGTCGTTAGAAAACCTGTGAAGTCCAGAACTGGGCAGCACGGTGAAGATTGCTGGATTAGGACTGAAGGTAAATACAAGACCAGGTAAGCAGCACTCGGGGGATTGAGGGGAGTGGATGGGAACAAAGTAAGAGCATGCAAACTACGTTACTACTTGTATGTTGAAAGCCTTATTTTCTAAAAAAAAAAAAATTTGATCTCACATGAGGCTCAATTTACAATATTCTTTATCTCGTTTGGCTGTCCATAATACCGGACCTTATGTAGCTTGCGTCTTGAGGATCTCAATTATTGAAAGCATAGAACACAATATATTTAGCTTGCTCTGTAAGTATTGGCTTTTTACCACTTTTAGTGCCATCATAACACTTTTAGAGTTTTAGTAGCAGTGTTAAATAACTCCTCCATCCTAGTGAATAGAGTCTAAAATGTTCAGGCAGCTCCTTTTCCTGCTCTCAACAGACAACTATTGAAACTCACACTTTCCGCCAGCCTGAAGCTAGTGGTATGCTAGGAATGATATAACACCGAAAATAACAAAATAACACCAACAGGGTTGTAATAGGACTAGTTGTGGTAATACACTGCTACTTACAAAAAAAGTGTCATATACCTTTATGAATTGAACAATTAATCAACGTGGCACAAGTTATCAAGAACCTAAAAGGGCTTAAAAAGTCAGCTTTGTGAATTGAGCATGTTGTCTAAGGCTCATGTGAGTCCAAAGTGTGTTCTGCACTAGGCTGAGCATGGTAGAGCTGTTCAAGCATTTTGCAGAGGCTCAATAAAAGCAACACAGGAGTGTTAAGACACAGGCAGGAGCAGTGTGACTTGTGTGTGAACTTCAGCTGTTAATATATGTCACTATATCTGATGATTCAACAAACAAAATTTGGAAAGAGGCCATACCAGACACAATTTTGCAGCTCATTGTGATTGGCTGGAAAGATTTCCCAGGGGACTCAGCCAAGCTTGTTGCCTGTCCTTGAGGGACAATCTTGCAGCTGGCAGTGATAGGCTGGAAAGCAGTGCTGCCATGAGCTCCAATAGTAAACCTCTGGGTCATTTTTGTTGGTGTGCGCTCAAGTGCTGAGGTCTGAGTGTACAATGTGGGCTCTGAAGTCAGGCTAAAACCTTGTTTTAACGGAAAAAAAAATGTGCACCATTAATAATACAATGTCAAGTTCATGCAAAATTAATCCTCAAATTTCAATCACAATAAATACAAAACACTTAAATAGCTATATTTTTTTTCATATACAACAATTGTAATGGGCAAGTTAGACAAATTAAGTGGCTACAATGAACCTCTAAGAAAGCAGTTGTCAACTTAAGTCCCATTCACACTTGTGTATGGGGTACAGCTATTCCCATACACGTCTGTTCGCATAAGTCTCATGAGACTCATTTAATCAACCCCATTTGCAAGTGTGAATGGGGCCTTATGAGGTACGGGGGCCTCAACTGTGGACTCTGAAACCACCAAAGGGCTGCACATAATATTGTGTATATGTAATAATTTAGAAGATTGTCAGAGACTGCAGACATCCTAGAGCAGATCGTTGGAGACTGCAGAAATGTTAGAAGTGTTCACTCCCATTACAGCTCCATTGTAAATGCCCCCTTTCCATGCCAATTCGCTCCACTTTCCACTAGTGCGGTCTGCAAAGGGCTGCACAACAAGCATCAAATGGCTGCAGGTGGTCCTCAAGCCCAAAGTCTTTTTTCTTCCCTCCATTATAAATAGAATAGGCAGGGGTTCAAATCTCTGCCAGGTTTGTATGGTGGTTTATGTCCCTACTAGGAAGATTCACCCTCACAATTTGTCCTGGTTATAAATGTAACATTTTAAATTGTCACTAAAACAGGAGAGATCTCCTCTTGCTTCCTGTTGTGTCTTCAGACAGAAGGAAAATCTCCCCACGAAAGAATTTATTTATTAGTAAAGTCTGTGCCCTTTATAATGATCACCAAAAGTAAATGATTATATTTTGGTGCGTGTGACAAGCATGTGTACCTAAAATACATGTACTTCCTATGGTTGGATTTTCCAGGACAGCTAATGCCCATTTTTATATATTGGATAGGATAGGGAAGTAATACAATTTCTGTCACATTTATTTTTTCTGTCTTTGACCCAACTATGGAGATTTTTCCTAATTTCCTGTCCCTGCGATAGCAGTACAAGAAATGGAGTCAAAATTAGAGACACGGATAATAACAAAACGTTTTGGCTGGAGGTGGACTTTAAAGTGAAACCAGCAGCCACATACGGACAAAGTCGCTAAAGGGCAATAATGTTAGGCCACAATATAAAATAATATAATGGTCTGGAATTTAATGAGCATCTGTCATTTAGGTCTAGATAACAAAAATGACCGCAGACTAAAAATAGGCTCCAATGTTTGCACATATCCCTATATAGCACCATGAGCTTTCTTAGAGTCCAAGGCTCTCCCATATGCAAAAACTGACTTGTGTTGAGAAAGTCAAGGGCCGATCTGCCACCTCAACCCTTCCTCTTGCTAATCCAATGGCTTCAGTGAACTGAAACAAGTATGTTCAATATCAGCGGTTCCAAGTTCAATTGAAGCATACTTGTTCAGGGAATTATACTGACCCTGAATGTTCTGAATACAGCCAATAGATTTGACATAATTCCAACACAATGACAACCAGAAAGGTAGAATTTTCTGAAGATAATAATCACTGGCAGCCTTGTATTTCTTTTGGCTCAAGCTTCACGCAAAACAATTTAAATAAAAATGGTTATAAAAACATATTTACCCTTTTCAGACAATTCATGGCTCCCTTTGTGAGGGGACAATGTTTTAACTATAACAGGTCCTGGAGTGCTCCCATCAGACTGAGAAGTTTCATTGGAAGATTGTGAAGATAAATAATCCTCTCCAAGGGAATGTCTGAGAAGCTCAACTTCAACAACCTGAAGATTATAGCAACATGCAGAGGTATTAGAAACAATTAGAAATCTGGAGGTCATATTTAGGGATACCCACAGACATGGGACATTACCTATAAATTCAGCTCAGATTCAGCCAGGTTGGTAGAGGACTGTTAACTCTTAAGCTCACCATACGCACTACAACTAAAACTTACTCTAACTTTTGACTTAGAAACATAGAAGATGTATTTTTTTAATTTTATCTAAGAATGACACATATTCTATTTTATCCAGCTATAAGCACCTGGATCCGAGTAGCAACTACCACCAAATGATTTATGGAGATTTAGGAAGACAGCAGGGCTCTATTAGACCCCCCAATGTCTCCTGTACTCTACATCCAAACAAATCAAATGCCAGCAATGTTAAAACAGCGCCCCTAAGTAATTTTCAGGGATACCTGTTTTTACATTAAATACCTGGCTTGGGGTTAACGGCTGCAAAGCAAGAATCTTTAGTAATAACAATAATGATATATATTTGAGGATCCATATAGTGAACAGTAAGATCTAGTACTACTCAAAAAAAAGTTAATGCCCAATTGAAATTTTGTAAGTAAAGATTTAAGTTTTTGCAAGTAAAGAATATGAATTTTCTTTTTTTTAATTCTGTGTGTGTGAGTAAAATTTTAAGAAGCTGCGCAGGCAGCAAACTAGAGCCAGACTGCTGCTCCCACACAGAGCGCAGTGGTCCAGGTCTCCAGCAGTCTGACACAACCCCTAAACAGTGCTCCCATCCAGCAGCACTTATGCTCTGAGCACTCATCCAATGTGCGACACATATGAGAGCAGTGTTTTGCTCTCTAGCTTGCTTCAGACACAGGGCAACTTTCTACAGTTTTCATTATGGACACATAATAGTAATCATCATAACAACAATTAACAAAAGAGAGCCATATTCTTTACTTGTTATACAGATTGACTGAATAACATACCGGTATATGAAAAGCATAACTTCCGCTGGGGTTTAAATACAAAAAGCGCAAATAAACTCACCGTTTCTGCTCCTATTGTCTGCAATCCAGTGTAAGTTCTGTCCAGCTGGAGAAGAGCAACACAAATACATTAGTATTAACAAGTTTAAAAAATATTTAGCAGAAATATTACATTTATTTTAATATAAAAAATTGCCTTTCTGAAATAACAGACCAAGGAAGCAAATCGGCTGCCTGCAAAAAACAATAGCTACTGCATGCCAAAAAGGGATTCTAATCACCCATCTCTTTCTTTAGAAAAAGTCAGGGACTGTGGAGTTATCCACATGTGATCACAGCTCCACCCCATTTGCTGCAATTATGGGCCTGCTGTAAAAGTAGAAAAGCCCTTGAAGCAAATTTTCTTTTTTTTTAAATTTTAATTACAGTAACAGAGACCCTCAACTTCCCATTCAGACTTTATTAAAAGGTAAATTATCTAGTGCTGTAACTGTCACAGCAAGTCTGATAATGGCACACTACTCCACTTTTCTTAGTGATCAGTGTTTGCTGGCAAAAGTATTGTGCACTATACTATCTATTTCACATAACAGCTTCTCTTGGGATGCAGCACAGTTGTCCTACAGCGTACACTAATACAATACAAGAACATGCTGCAACTTGTCAATCCACCTGACATTTTGAGAACGTTCGGGAGTTCAGCATTAGTTCACTTACATTCTGTCTTCTGTCTGCATCAAAATAAATTAGCACATTTGAGAAGCAGGGTGCCAGGGTCACTGTGCCTCCCCCCCTCATTGTATTTAATTAAGATCATGACAAGAATAATTACTTGAGGTGTATTTTAATAGCCAACATACTTGTGCCATATCTGTACCTTCAAGTTATGTATGATATCTATCCGCTTGTTCTGACTGTCCTTAAAGTGGATCTGCACTCTTACAGGAAATTCACCCCATCCTCTGCGTGTCAAGTGGAAAGGAGGCTCTCTATAAACAAACCAACTTCATCAGTCACGCCACTCAAAAATAAAAGATAGATATATTTATAAAGACACATAATTCTAGCAACCTCGAGCAATGATGTGCATTGTGACAAAGATTTTTCTTTGTGTACAGTATACGAGTAGAAAAAATATGAACCTCTCCGTATAGTGACTAGACTGTTGTAATCTTAGAAAAATCTATTAAGACGAAAAGGTTCTATTATTTGGGGGCAAACAGAAGTTAGGTAAATGAACCTATCCGTCCAAAGACATGCAACTGGAGATAATAGAAGTGGACCAATGAAAATATGTAAGGCCTGTAATGGCCTCTGTTCACACCTGAGCAGCAAAACGCCAGCAGGAAAATGACAAATGCCCGAAAAAGTACATGAGCTTCTTTGGGCAGTTAACAGTGCAAAAAGAAAATTAGGCTTTACATCCTTTCTGGATCACACTGCCTGTAGTTCCTACATTTAAAAAAAATAAATCTACCATTTGTTCCAGGTCAAACTTCCCTAATATGAATACAGTGAGAAAACAGATAATAGTCATGTTGGAGCTCACCTGACTTCTACAAGATCATTGGGCTTGTAGCTTGGGTGCAGAAAGAACCAAACCTTTTTCACAAAGTGATCAATGCTTGGCTCCTTCCTAGAGCCACGTACATAGACCATCCACTTATGTGTAGACTGATCATTCTCTTCTCGTTTGTCAGGAGGAATGTACCTAAAATCAGGGAGAAAAGAAACAAATACAATATGCATAAACAAACATTTCAGCATTAGCATTTACAGTTCTTTAATATTTCCTTTAGGCTTGACTAAAATTCTTCTGAAAACCTTTTACTGGCTGCCAGAATAACACTTTTGAGCTGAGGGTTATTAACGTGGTTTGAAAATATTACTAAGACAGTGAAAATCATTTTATATTCTTCTAATTGATATTATCCATGAACTTATATATATATATATATTTATATTACACACACACAAAAATATATATATATATTTTTTTTATTATTGAACTTGAGAAGCTTAATGACAACTAATGGAAAGGCTATAAAGCATGCAGAGATTTTTAAGTAGGTCCAAATGAGGTAGCAATGATAAAATATGAAGTCTATGCTAAAGGCACTAATAACATTTTATTTGGGAGTAGTAAGCTACATTAGCAGTTCTAATTGGTACCAACCCTGCAGGAGCCTTTTTTTGAGGAACCTGATCAAGTAGATTTAACAGTTCAAGGTAAATTAAAGATTGATGAAATGAAAATAGGGAGACAAAGGGAATAAAGAAACAAATGGACTTTGGGCCCATGGGGGTGGTAGATTCTTTGCACCTTGCACACTGTATGCATATCCAGCTAAGGCACAGCACAACCCATCATTTTATTATTATATGTATAATATTCATGGACTGACTTGTGCGGGTTAAGAGGAGCTGGATAACTGCTATGTTAATGTGTGTCAACTATAGTAGTATAGTAGTGCTTGATGAGCAGGTGTTAAGTACTAGCATGCATCTTTGTATTTTAACAAACGTGCTGGGCATGCTATAGAGCAGGGGTAGCAAACCTCCGGCCCTCCAGCTGTGGTGAAACTACAAATCCCATGATGCATCTCTCTTCGGGAGTCATGTCTGTGGCTGCGAGAATCTTGCACTGCCTGGGATTTGATATCCCTGCTCTATAGCCCCTATAATAGAGCAATGTCTAATTGCATTAGACACTTGCAGAACCTTTGCTGCCGTGAGGAACTCTGTCGGCTCTGTAACATGCCAGACCACAGCGAGTTTGGCGACAACTGATTCAAACCTATACCTGTGACACCTATGGTGAGTATTAGTCAAAAAAGGTTTTTCTAGGAATGGGGGCTAGGGTTGGGAACTTTCAACTGCAAGCATGTTATTGCTCTCAAAGATTTTCCAGCTTGCTTTTGGGAGACATGTGCCTTTTTATGGCTATGCATATTCTGCCAAATAATCCCCAAACAAATCTCAGCAAAAAGGCAATAGAAAATGTGCTAAACAGTAAAGTACAAAGCCACTTCTTCAAAAACAAATTCAATCCATTTGCAGATGACAGTAATCATACCTTGAGACGTTGCCAACAACTAGAGTTTTCTTCACAAAACGCCTGGATGTTTCTTCTGATCTTGTAAACCCAGCAGTTTGGTTGTCATTTTCTGGATCCTGAAAATTCAAATGCATAAAAGGTTTCTTAAACAAAACAGTATTAGAATAAGGAGCGTTAAAGTCACTAAACCAACTAACACTACTTTCTTTACAATGGGAGAAAAGCTATTATGTCAACCATCCCCACAGCATCATGTTTACAAAGAGAGCATCTTAGACACAACATGCTGGAAGAAACATCTGCATTGTTGATCAGGAGATGAGACGCCTCTGACGACCAAGTCCCATGATTTAACATCGTGCCCACGACTCCTCCCAGCCTGCAAGGTGGCATTCATCATTAGAATCATCCAGAAGACGGAAAGTGAGGACTTTCTCAACTCCAGAGCTGGATTCCTAAGCCTCAAGGCCAGGGACAACCAGTTCCTTTGTGTCAAATGAATTGGTCTGTCCAGTGAATTGACTGACTTGGCCCACGATGACAGAATGTTGTGTTGTAGAGGCCTGGGGTCAAACCAAACAAATGGGACTGCCTCAAAATGGTTACCATTTGGCCAAAGATTCTCATGCAAAAAACAGGAAAGCAAGACGACTTTTGGACTAGAGAACTTGAATTTGAGATTGTAGAGTTTAAAGTTTCTCCTGTCAAATGAACACTTTGGCCATGGTTTGGGACAGTAACGTTACAGCCAGGAAGGGTGGAAACCAGTGGGAAACAGAATTTTAAAAAGGTGCCCAGCAACCTATATAATGTACTTGAGGTAGCTTCTGATGCTCTGCCCGACCAGTTGACTCACAATGCGAGTCTTGAGACACAGGGCAAACCCTAAGGCAATGCCATTGACACTTAGATGCTGGAATATTTACATTTGTGCATTTTATTTTAATGCAGGCTACAAAAACATTAAAAATGCATACCTTCTCCAGCCTTCCATCTGCAGCAGAGGCCCCTTTGTGCCCAGTCTTCGTAGCTCCATCTTTATCGAGCAACTCACTGTGAGTGCAAATAGAGTCAGTTTCCGAATTACTGACAGAAGGGGTATCTGAACGGTGGTTTGCAGGAGATGAGGCCCGTGAAGGAGATTCCAAGAATTTTTTAATAGACGGATGATTTAGAATTGTAGGATCACATGCAGATGTGCTCTGGAGAAAGAATATATCTACTGTAATTACAACAAAATGTATATTTGCTAAAGGACACAGTTCTAATAAACTGTTAAATGTCCCTCAATAGATTATTGGAATTAAATGGAATACATTGCTTACCTCATGGCCTTTTCCAAACCCTGCAGAAGCATAATAATTGGCCACAATGTATGCTCTGAGTTTATCCATCATACGTCTTGCCTCATTCAACCGCTGCATAAGAAACAATAAAAATACTGGAATAAGAATGAGCAAAAATAGCACAGGACAATTTTGTCAGACAGCACATGCACAATAAATCTGATGCATGTTTTAAGGCCAGAGAACTGACAAGCAACTGGCTGCTATAGAAGACTGAGGACAAGGTGGGCTTCAGAAAGGAGTATCACCACTTCAATCACATTAATTTCTTATAGTGTTCCACTGTTAAATGCACAAAAGAACCACTATTCTCTGCACGGCAGTGGCTAGAGTTGTGCTCCAATCTCACCACCCTCCAGTTTACTGGCATCAAGTTGACATCACACCAGAAAATAAACATATGCCTCCTTCTGCCCAATGAGGAAGCTGCACAGCTTAGACAGGCTGCAGTAAAATGAGGACAGTGTCTTCAGAAAATCAGCCTAATTCTGATTACAGGTCTATGAAGCTAAATTCAGCCACCACAGTTGACAGAGACATCCTCAACCTGGAAGATGTAAGCCAGCCTTCTATGCACAGTGCCAGCCACGATTTTACAGCTTGCTCCCAGGCAGGAGAGAGCATGAGAATAAAGTACACAGCATATAATGGACTGTGTACTACACAGGTTCATAAAAACTGAACCTGTAAAAATAATCAAAAGGAGCTGCTGACTTGTCTTTTAATGGTACAGGTTCCAGGACTGTCTTGCTTGGTTCTCTACCTAGCAAGTAACTGATAAAGGTTCAGGCTGTACTAGCAGGGCTGATTTTCAGTGTGTCAACTCTGACTTAGATTACACAGAGTGCAGTATTACTGAGCATTTTAAAGTGTATGTCTGGCCATTATCCAAATTAACCCCCCAAACCTCCCTCTCCCCCCACTTTTTGTGTGCGAGACAGCTTTTATTATCCCCAGACATCATCAAGCTTGTAAAATGCTTGGAGGGACAACTACTGGGAGCTGAATTCCTATTGAATTAGGCTACCCCACAAAACTCCCATCTCCTAAGAGCCCTTTCCCTGTGCACAATGTGTGAGCAGGCTGTATGTGGAGTGGGCTAGGGAAGGGTGGAGGAATAGAATGTGTGAGCAGGCTGTATGTGCTGTATGTGGAGTGGGCTAGGGAAGGGTGGAGGAATAGAATGTGTGAGCAGGCTGTATGTGCTGTATGTGGAGTGGGCTAGAGAAGGGTGGAGGAATAGAATGTGTGAGCAGGCTGTATGTAGTGTATGTGGAGTGGACTAGGGAAGGGTGGAGGAATAGAATGTGTGAGCAGGCTGTATGTAGTGTATGTGGAGTGGGCTAGAGAAGGGTGGAGGAATAGAATGTGTGAGCAGGCTGTATGTAGTGTATGTGGAGTGGGTTAGGGAAGGGTGGAGGAATATAATGTGTGAGCAGGCTGTATGTAGTGTATGTGGAGTGGGCTAGGGAAGGGTGGAGGAATAGAATGTGTGAGCAGGCTGTATGTGCTGTATGTTGAGTGGACTAGAGATGGGTGGAGGAATAGAATGTGTGACCAGGCTGTATGTGCTGTATGTTGAGTGGGCTAGAGAAGGGTGGAGGAATAGATTGTGTGACCAGGCTGTATGTGCTGTATGTTGAGTGGGCTAGGGAAGGGTGGAGGAATAGATTGTGTGAGCAGGCTGTATGTGCTGTATGTTGAGTGGGCTAGAGAAGGGTGGAGGAATAGATTGTGTGACCAGGCTGTATGTGCTGTATGTTGAGTGGGCTAGGGAAGGGTGGAGGAATAGAATGTGTGAGCAGGCTGTATGTGCTGTATGTGGAGTGGACTAGAGATGGGTGGAGGAATAGAATGTGTGACCAGGCTGTATGTGCTGTATGTTGAGTGGGCTAGAGAAGGGTGGAGGAATAGATTGTGTGAGCAGGCTGTATGTGCTGTATGTTGAGTGGGCTAGAGAAGGGTGGAGGAATAGAAAGTGTGAGCAGGCTGTATGTGGAGTGGGCTAGAGAAAGATGGGAGAATAAAAGGAATTCTGTAGTCCAGCAAGTAGGCCTGATAATGCTGGTTGGGAGGTCATGTCAGCAAGGCACTGTTTTGTCAGCTCAAGCAGAAAGTTTGAAACTGACTGGATTTCTGGCTGATCAACAGGTATTTGTCTGTACTTCAGGGGTGTGGAATTCGTATCGCCCGATGCCCGGGACATGTAGTTCCGGGCAAGTGTTTTTTTCACTGTTTTAGCTCTGCTACGGACAAGTAGCAGGCCTGGTTTCTCATGGAGCGCCGAGAGCGGGGGGCGTGGACGGAGCGCTGAGAGCAGGGACCGAGCATGGAGCGCTGAGAGCGGGGGACAGAGCGGGGGGCGTGGAGTAGTGATGGACCAGTGACAGGCTCTGTCACCTCCCCAGCCTCTGTCCCTGGCCGCCGCTGCTCGTTCCTGTAGAAAGTAGATTCGGCCCCCGCTTTAGTCCTTGGACAAGTCGTTTTTTCAAAAATGTCCACGCCTTGCAGCATATCAAAGCATAAGAAGGGGGCTACACCATAGGGAAATTAGCATGTATTGCAGAAGTAATGAATATGCTTTTTTTATGTTGCCCTGACATACACTTTAAGGACTTAAAAGGAGAACTATGAGGTTAAGTCTTTTCCCCATAGTTCTCCTTAGGGTAACGGGAGGACACAAACTAGCGTCCTCCCGTCACCCTAGGCTCAATATACCGCGAGCTACTATATAGCTCAGTATACTGAGACGCCGCAGCTGAAGCGGATCCCGACAATTGTGCCGGGATCCGCCCAGCTGCGTGACTGACAGCTGAATCTTTATTGTAACAAAAAGTCTTTGGAAAACATTGAAGGCCAAAATATAATTTGTTGCTAGTTTTTCTGGTAGATAGTGCATCCAAAATGATACAAGTAATTGGCTATTCAGTAAGTTTATTACTAAACGTTGTGTTTAGCCATCTCCCACATATGTAAACAGATTACAAGTCTTGCTGTACCTCCTTTCACTTTTAAACATATTGTGATTTTGCTAAAATAACTGGAGCGGATGACAATCTTTGCTATAGTCACTACCAACCCTAAGACACAACAGCAGAATGATGCAGACATGGGAGGCCAGATATGAATAAAGGAGCCTCAGAAAGAGAGTCATATAAGAACAGAAAATAAATTCTATATACTCTCCAATAGATTGTGTGCGTAGAAGACAATTAAGGCTCACTGATTCGTTAATTTCCAAAACACGAGTAGATCTGCCTTTTAGATACTAATGTTCTTCTTACCTGATCAATAACTTCAATCTCATGCTCTTTATTCTTCAGTTCAACTGCAAACTGATCCTTAACAATAGATTCTATCTTCAAGATTGCAGCATCTCGAGCTGTGTCAGCAGAAAAAGACATATCAAGTCAACAAGGCATTGATATAGTGCACCTATCAGAATTAGTTGGAACACAGGTAACATAAGTGACACTGAGGGAAGTAGCTTGCCAACACCCAGGGAGCAGGATTGAGCAACAGACTGGGATACATCAGAGCAGCGGTGTCAACAGGGGGGACCCGACTGTGAATGAATGGCTCTGATATCAAATATTCATTTACTTAGAGTCAGGATGACCTGTTTGCAGAAGTAACCATGAGCTTATAGCAGAAGGAGCTGACATAGGTATACTTACCTGGACAACTGTGAGCGGTTCCGTTCCACTCTATGAATTATGGCCGTTAAACCTTAGGCATTAAAAGTATGTTTCCCCTTTAGCAGCACGTTACTATAAATTGCTACCAGTTTCTTTATCCTTATTTTGCCCCAAAGACTCATATTTTCATTCCTAATGCTCCTAGTGTCCTTGTAACTCTACCCTAAACTTCATATCAAGCAAGAGTCAGGTGGTCTAATGCATTGGCACTACATGCATGTGTGTCTGTTAGCATTTTGCTTCGGTTGTTTTTTTACTGGTGCCCATCTGAAAGCCTACAGTCCTGGCTACGAGTGCACACATGAGGGTGGCTCTAGGGAGCCCCTGAAAGGCATCGGAGCCACCCTCGAGGGAAAATCAATGGAGAGTCAGGTTGACCTTTCTGTTTGCAGAAGTAACCATGAGCTTATAGCAGAAGGAGCTGACATAGGTATACTTACCTGGACAACTGTGAGCGGTTCCGTTCCACTCTATGAATTATGGCCGTTAAACCTTAGGCATTAAAAGTATGTTTCCCCTTTAGCAGCACGTTACTATAAATTGCTACCAGTTTCTTTATCCTTATTTTGCCCCAAAGACTCATATTTTCATTCCTAATGCTCCTAGTGTCCTTGTAACTCTACCCTAAACTTCATATCAAGCAAGAGTCAGGTGGTCTAATGCATTGGCACTACATGCATGTGTGTCTGTTAGCATTTTGCTTCGGTTGTTTTTTTACTGGTGCCCATCTGAAAGCCTACAGTCCTGGCTACGAGTGCACACATGAGGGTGGCTCTAGGGAGCCCCTGAAAGGCATCGGAGCCACCCTCGAGGGAAAATCAATGGGATATAATTTTGGATGACAGATTTTCCTGCAAAGAGGCACTAGAAGGAAGGAGAGAACAGCAGCAACACTTACTTGAGGTATGAAATAATATTTATATTTTTACCAGGAAGGTTAGTAGCTAGAGAGCCTATCTTCAGAGGAAAAAACTAAAACTACCCCTGCGGTGCGGAGATAGCCCTACTACACGGGTATTTTTTGATTGTAAATGTCAAGGGAACCAATGTAAAGGTCTTTTACTTACCTGATCTCCGCAGTCACTTCACCCCCACAGTTCAGGTGGTCAGAAGCATGCTGCATTATACATAAGGAAACCAAGGGACAGTCCAGAAGCTGGTGCAGAGGGGGTAGCCCCACTGCAAGGGGCAGATGAATGTAAACATCTAGTCAGCTGGCCAAAGATCTGACTGAGTGCCCAGAACTTCCGCCTTGGAGAACCTGCTTAAAGGAACAATTTCACTATGTACCTGATGTTTCAATGGCCTTATGCCGCTTGTTCTGATGAATGACTGATATGTCTTCATAATCCGGGTCCATGTCTTCAATGGCTCTTTTTATTCCAGACATTTTCTTTCAGCGATATTTAACTGTTGAATAAAAATTAATAAATTTCAATATCTACAGTGATCATAAAATGAATTTATAGAAGGGTACGTCTATGGAGGGCACCACCCTCCTACTACTGGGTACCAAACACTGTGCACTTCTAACACAAACAACAAGTGTGCTATCTTCCCAATCCAGGAAAAAGAGTAACCATAGCATGCACAGTGCAGCAGGCAGCCACCAGGCAGGCTTCACTACTCCCCAGTATAATAAAAGATGGAAGCAGACCTCATGGCATACAATCTTTGTTTACATTAGCCTAAAGAGGTAAAAATAACTACTCCTGCAGCGGTGCGTGTATTTTCCCTACCTTTAACTGCTGGTGGTGAACTATTTAAGCACAAAGAAGCATCATCCTACACAGTTATACGGAGGACGGTCTGCCTAGCCTTGTAAGGGTTAATACATTGCATCGCTCACCCGGCATAACACAGGGACGGGCCCACGCGTGGCAGGATCACGTGATTACAGAGCAGCCTTAGATTCGGCCTTTCCTGCTTTGGCTTTGCTACATGCACCGTGCTGGAAGCTCGGCGTGCAGCCTTTGCGTGGATTACCTATCTCATCGATAACACACGGCTCAGAATTTTCTACGTCACGTCGCGATAATTCTCGCAGCCATTTTGGTATCTGGCACGATTCTACAAAGCCGATACACCGTAGTCAATGTTTTTTTTTATGTGAATATATGATTTAATAAGTCTTAATTTTCCTCCATGTACACTTTTTATTAAGAAATGCTAACACGCTTGCCAACATTGCATTCAGAAAGTGAACCCTTAATGTTAAAAACAAGGTACAAATTATATCAGCGGACCTAAGTACTTACCTTACGTGCTGCTTCTTTAAAATCTTTCATTAATTAGTTATTATGATGGCAGATATGTGAAAAATTACTGTTATATGTGAAAACTTCCTGTTGTCTGGTTCACATCCTCCATTGTATTGTAAGGAGGAGCATTAGACTGGGACTTTCAAAATTCAAAGTGACACTAAACTCAGGTGCATTCAAGTACCCTAACTACAGTGGTGTCACAAGGGGGGTTTGGCCCACACCGGGTGACACCATCAGAGGGGGTGACATAGGGTTGCCACCTGTCCAGGATAGGGTTGCCACCTGTCCAGAATTCACCCGGACAGTCCAGGTTTTGAATGCTGTGTCCGGGTTTCATGGCAGCAGGAACCCGGACACAAGATATCAGGCAGTCAGAGGCAGCCAAAATTAAGATAGGGGCTATTGGCACCCCCACTGAAAATAGTCTCAACTGTGATATTTACATATGAATGGACAGCACTATTTACATATGAATGAGCCAGGACTCATTCTCCCAAAGAAATGTCTGCGCATCGCTACAGTGTTCGGGCTTCACTTGAAGAAAAGGTGGCAACACTAGTCCAGGATTCACCCGGACAGTCCGGGTTTTGAATGCTGTGTCCAGGTTTCATGGCAGCTGAAACCCAGACACAAGATGTCAGGCAGACAGGGGCAACCAAAATTAAGATAAGGGCTACTGGCCTTCCACTAAAAATAGTCTTGACTGTGATATTTACATATGAATGGGTGATGCTATTTCTATATGAATAAGCCACGGCTCATTCTCCCCCAAACATTTCCATCCGTTGCTAGAGTGTTCGGGTTTCGCTGGAAGAAAAGGTGGCAACCCTAGGGTGACACCAAAATGACCCAGTCATTTTGGTGTCACCCCTTTTGAAAAGTTGGGCACTTGGTCATGGACAGCTGTACGACACCAAAGGGGACCCGGCGGTTACGTTATCCCGCCAGATGGACGTCACCTCCTCTCTTTGCTGGCATCCATCACCGAGATTACCACCGGCAGTTACGTGTGCTGTGCGTGCATGATGACATCTCAGCAGCTGACACTCGGCCTCGGCATGCCTCTGTCTAACTGCCTAACTTATTTGTGTATCACTCGGCTGTAGATCCTTAAATCATCTCTGAATTGGTGCCGACACTGTCCTTCCTTCTGGAGGGTGGCTAATCCTGTTCCCCATGGTCCCTATGTGTGTTGTAAAGTAGTCACTGCTCCAAGCCTACTCCGGTGATGGACTACAATCTCAATCCAAATTAGCCTGGAGCGGTGACTACTTTAGAACACACACAGGGACCATGGCGTACACAAGTAGCCCCCCTCCAGAAGGAAGGACAATGTCAGCACCAATTCAGAGATTTGAGAGCTATAGTTCCGACCCGATATGTTAAAGAGAGTGGCAGCGGCATGGAAGCATGTGATCAGGTAAGAAAAACCACTGACCACCAATGGGAGGGGAGTTAATTATTAGTGCCACTGACCACAAATGAAAGGGGGGCTTTAATATTACTGCCACTGACCTCCAATGAAAGGGAGACTTTAATATTACTGCCACTGACCTCCAATGGAAGGGGGGCTTTAATATTACTGCCACTGACCTCCAATGAAAGGGGGGCTTTAATATTACTGCCACTGAGCTACCATTGGAAGGGGGGCTTTAATATTACTGCCACTAATCTCCAATGGAAGTGGGGCTTTATTATTACTGCCACTGACCTCCAATGGAAGGGGGGCTTTAATATTACTGCCACTGACCTCCAATGGAAGGGGGGCTTTAATATTACTGCCACTAATCTCCAATGGAAGGGGGGCTTTAATATTACTGCCACTGACCTCCAATGGAAGGGGGGCTTTAATATTACTGCCACTGACCTCCAATAAATGGTCGGGTCTTTTCTGCCCGTGCGTGCCCGCTAGGGGGCACGCGCGAGCAGAAAAAAATTGCCGTCTGCAGACGGCAACCCGCCAATGCTGCAGTGCCGTCCGTCCGTTTTTTTACTACGGGCGGACGGCAAGTGGCTAATATTACTGCCATTGACCTCCAATGAAACGGGGGGCTTTAATATTACTGCCACTGACCTCCAATGAAAGGGGGGCTTTAATATTACTGCATCTGACACCAGCTTATTTTACTCCCACTTTCTGGTCAGTGTGCCATCAGTCTAAGGTTCTATGTGTTCCCTGACCTATCCAAAACTACAAAAGAAAAGTGTAACTAGAGGTACATTTTCATTTTAGTATTCCTTTATCTCCTCGTCAACTTTTGTTCTTGGCTGCCAGTATCAAATTTTTTCAATCAATGAATTACAAGTCTTATTTTTTTTTAAATGTCTGTCAACTGGAAACTCTTACTGCTTGCATTGTATTTTATATGTATGCACTTCAGTTCACCTGCATTCCATAACAGGAAATTAGATAAAACATCACCAAAGTCAGGGGAATTCATAATGAAAATCCTGTACAATGAGTCCGCATAGTTCTCGGAAGATTTATTGTGTAAAGGATATGCACAGGTGTACAGACATCAACAGAAGAGAAACACAATGGGTATTTAGAAAAGATTGCATTTTAATATGTTGTAGTCCTCTTATCAGCCAGTAGATAGAGCCTTAGGGTCACAGCGTTGCTTAGGATCAAATCCAGGTCTCTAGGTCAATGTGTTGCTGAAGTTCAGCCTGAGTCATAGACCCATTTTTTGACATGTGGTTTGGTAAACAACATGTTACCTCTTCTGATAAGTACTGATGCAGCAAACATATGCGTTAATGATCTTTATGCCTTCCTCTCGCCAATAAAAACTGTGGCTTTATATGCTTTGTTCTAAGAACAGGAAGTTGCCAGCACACCGGATGTTGGTCCTGTGACCTGATTCCCAAACTCTGCGTTTCCCTGCCCGTACATTTTGCCCTCAGCCTTGGCCACCATTTGCATGCTGTTCCTGTGCCCCGCTGCTTATCCATTGCTGACTCAGGAACATTTGTGAAGAAGGCTTTCTTTGCTGATCTCTCCTGCTGCGAACCCTGGCTCACTCCAGGTTACCTTCACATTACCATCACATTCCAATATGTATTCCTACAATACACTCTACTGCCACTATTTAATTGGTAACGTAGGAAACAAGCAACCTTCCTGCCAATCAGCACTGCACATATCCTGCCTAGGGGGAAATCTGTAGTTTTGGTACAGTTATCCTTAAACTGCAGGTATCTCTTCCATGAGAAGTCCTCTTATTACCTTACCATGATGTCTAAAGATCTTCATTAGGGATGCTCAATAATTACCCGGCTTTCCATAGGATTAAATCGCACATCTACTGCGCATGTGTGAAGACCTCCATGGATTGTGTACAGATAAGTAGAGGACTTGCTAGGGAAGGGGGGGGGGACCTGCATTTTAACAAAAACTGTGCTAAAAGTACAATTATCCTTTAAAATATATGTAAACCCTAAAAATAAACTTCTCTTATTTGCTCCCTTTTGGCCGGGTAAATATAACATTGAAAGTATTGTGAAAATCTTGTTGTTAACTGAGTTCAGTAGCTTAAAATAAAACTCACACACACAAATGAGTCAGATCAGTGGCTCTTCCAAATTATAGGTGACTAGTTTGAATGATTTGGAATGATTACAAATCAACAGAATCATCATGTAGCTCAGAGGGATCTTAACAGAATAGCATCATGGACAGTTACAGAGAGTAATTACACTTTTGTTGATTACAAATCAATCCTCTCTGGGTGATCTGTGAACTTTACAAGGATTTTAACAAACTTTGTTGCAGTTTCCTACCTGAAAAAGCTGTTTGTTGCAGCATGTCCTTTCCAAACTGATTCCTGAATGGGAGTGTCTGGGTTCATTATAACCACCTGGTGGGTTTCTTGTGTTGTAGAAGGTAGGGATGCACAGATACTTTTTGAGTACCAGTGCAGATACTTGGCATTTTCATGAGAACTACCAGGGCTGCCGCGGTTGCAGCTGGGACCTGGCTCTGGCACTCCACCACTGTCCTGAAATCATTAGTCTGTATTGTTTTAGAAAAACTGTCACGTGACAATAAACAAAAATGTATCAGTTCTCGTACTTGTAAGTACTCGGTAAGTACCAGTACTCGTACTCGCAAAACTGGTATCTGTGCATCCCTCTATTTATATTTATAAAAACAAAATGATACATTAAAACAGAGATGTACAAATCCGAGGAGCTCCGTGTGCTCCTTACAGATGACAGCGGCCTCCTAACTTTTACATTTTTCTCTAGTGCAGTCCCGGAGCTCAAAAGTATCGGTACATGTATCGTACTTGTACCAAGTACTGTACTTGGTATCTGTGCAACCCTAGTAAAAGGGAAAGGTGCAGTATCGGCATCCCTTTAGTAGTCATTAATGCTTACGGATTATTTTACCAAAAATGAAATTCCTATTGCAAAGGATGACAAATTATACTTGTATGTAAGTGCAGACTTCTGGGAAAATCAGTCAGCTGATCACAGAAGCAGGAAGGGACATTTCTGGGGGTGTTCCATACAACAAGGCTTCCGGGTCACGATACTGCATTGAACATTTTTAACACATTTAGAACATTATAGTAGCTAAAGTTTTAAATGGAATTTTATTTTTTAATTACATTGAATTATAAATTGGCTTGTGCAACAATTATATATGCTTCAATCATTTTTTTAAGATTTTTTAAATTTTCAGTTTTTAAAAT